TATAGTGCACTATATTAAATACACATATACCAGGCATTTACTATTCAGCGCAGGAGGCCTTCCTGCGTATATCGGCTCGTGAGACATAGCTCACACAAATTGAAAAGTCGCGTATGCACGCGTCAAATTGCGACCTATTGCGTGTCTCGGTACACGTTACCCGTCTAGTGTGTCAGATATGTGACCGCGCATCTAGGAAATTCCCATCCCGACATGTTTACATTTCTTCTTGCTCGCTGCACGAAATAGCCCGTAATACGTAATAGCCCTCAATTATTAGCGTACACGAGAAATAATAACTGATGATTATATTCCATTATCGTCTGCGTGACTCGTGAAAGGTTTCATTAGTCACCTGCAAGGCATCTTACCTGCATGACATCTCACCTGCAAGACATTCTCACCTGCAAGACATCTCACCTGCAAGACATCTCACCTGCAAGACAATCTCACCTGCAAGACATCTCACTTGCAAGACAATCTCACCTGCAAGACATCTTACCTGCACGACATCTCACCTGCAAGGGATCTCACCTGCAAGACATCTCACCTGCAAGACATCTCACCTGCATGACAATCTCACCTGCAAGACATCTTACCAGCATGACATCTCACCTGCAAGACATCTCACCTGCAAGGCATCTTACCTGCAAGACATCTCACCTGCAAGACATCTCAAGAATATTTTAAATGCATAATTTTTGCAATATAATATTCTTCTCGGGAGATATTGCGCATGCGCGAGCACCGTTTCAGGCGTGCAGTAAGGACTGAAGGAAACTGCATAATATAGCTTGCTGGAAGAGAGGAAGGTGGGAGACTGAGGAGAGGCAGCAGGGAAGATAGCTGAGGAGCGGTAGAAGAAGAAGAAGGCTGGGCAAGGGGCAAGGAAGGCAAAGGGAAGGACGGGAGGGGATGAAGTAGGAGTTTTGCACCCTACAGTCTAGGGCGCTCTCCTAATTATAAACACAGGTATATTGATAAAAATGTATTACATAAATCTATGCTGAGATACCCCCTACCCATATTAAATGCATATTCATAACAAAATATAACTGCTATGCTGAGATATTGCGCATGCGCTAACACACTAACTGTGTACTGGCTGGTATCTGCAGCGGGGACCTTACATGTGAGGTCTTCTTCCTATTTCTTAAGAGAGGTCTAATGATGGAATGTTATTATAGAAATCTATGCTAGGATAACTCCTCTTCGTTTTAAATGCATAATTTTTGCAATATAGTATTCTTCTCGGGAGATATTGCGCATGCGCGAGCACCGTTTCAGGCATGCAGTACGGACTGAGGGAAACTGCATAATATAGTTTGCTGGAAGAAAGGAAGGTGGGAGACTGAGGAGAGGCGGCAGGGAAAATAGCTGAGGGGCGGTAAAAGAGGAAGAAGGCTGGGCGAGGGGCAAGGAAGGCAGGGAGAATGCCGGGAGAGGATGAAGTAAGAGTTTTGCACCCTACAGTCTAGGGCGCTCTCCTAATTATAAACACAGGTATATTGATAAAAATGTATTACATAAATCTATGCTGAGCTACTCCATAGCCATATTGAATGTATAATCATCACAAAATTTAACTCTACTGGTGAGATATTGCGCATGCACTAACACACTAACGTAGCAAGATTGTGTACTGCATGACTGTCATATACAGCGGGGACCTTACATGCAAGGTCTTCTTCCTATACTGATGGAATGTTATAATAGAAATCTATGCTAGAATACCTCTTCTTCATTTTAATTGCATAATTTTTGCAAAATAATATTTTTCTTAGGAGGTATTGCGCATGCGCGAGCACCGTTTCAGGCGTACAGTACGGACTGAGGAAAACTGTATAATATAGCTTGCTGGGAAAGAGAGGGGTGGGAGACCGAGGAATTGCGGCAGAGAAGATAGCTGAGGAGTGGTAGAAAAAGAAGGAGGAGGGACAAGGGAGGCAAGGGGAAGGACGGGAAGGGATAAAGTAGGAGTTTTGTACCCTACATGCTAAGGCGCTCTTCTAATTCTAAACACAGGTCTACTGATAAAAATGTATTACATAAATCTATGCTGAGATACCCCCTAACCATATTAAATGCATATTCATAACAAAATATAACTGCTATGGTGAGATATTGTGCATGCGCTAACACACTAATGTAGCCTGGTTGTGTACTGGTTGGTATATGCAGCGGGGACCTTACACGCAAGGTCTTCTTCATATTTCTTAAGCGAGGGCTACTGATGGAATGCTATTATATAAATCTATGCTAGAATAACTCCTCTTCATTTTAAATGCATAATTTTTGCAATATAATATTCTTCTCGGGAGATATTGCGCATGCGCGAGCACCGTTTCAGGTGTGCAGTACGGACTGAGGGAAACTGCATAATATCGGTTGCTGGAAGAGAGGAAAGTGGGAGACTGGAGAGAGGCGGCAGGGAAGATAGCTGAGGGGCGGTAAAAGAGGAAAAAGGCTGGGCGAGGGGCAAAGAAGGCAAGGAGAAGGGCGGGAGGGGATGAAGTAGGAGTTTTGCACCATACGTAACAGTCTAGGGCGCTCGTCTAATTATAAACACAGGTATATATTAATACAAATTTATTACATAGGCCCTAAATCTATGCTGAGATACCCCATAGCCATATTAAATGTATAAACATCACAAAATTTAACCCTACTGCTGAGATATTGCGCATGCGCTAACACACTAACGTAGCCAAATTGTGTACTGACTAGTATATGCAGCGGGGACCTTACATGCAATGTCTTCGTCCTATTTCTAGAGTGGTCTACTGATAAATGTTATCATAGAAATCTATGCTAGAATATAATTATAGTTTATCCATTCAGACTAGTTATGCAATTGTATAAAAATTGCTTCCTCGTTCAATAGCGCCCTGGAAGGAATAGGTTCATTTAAATGGACCCTCGGTCCCAAACTGTTCTAGTAGGCTTAGTAGTGCTGAGAGGGTCTATGTCCCCTGGGGTACTGCCAGAAGGTACCCTGGGTACGGTCCGGTATACCGGAACGTACCCTGGTACTATCTAATATGCCGAACCGTACCTCGCCTACTCCACTAATGAGTCTAGGGAGTCGCCTACGCCTACACCCTAACCCTAACCCTAACCCTAACCCTAACCCTATCCCTAACCCTAACCCTAATCCTAATCCTAACCACATCAAATAGTGACCAGGGTACGTTCCGGTATACCGTACCGTACCCAGGGTACGTTTCGGCAGTACCCTGGGGGACATAGACCCTATGAGCCTTAGGCGTGGTACCAGTTGTAGCGCGAAATTTCTGACTTGCGAAATATATGATATAGGATGCGTATGCGCATGCGCACTTCGCA